AGTGTACAGTCATGGCATCAGTCTTAGTGTTTCACAGGCGAACATACTCCAACTGCATTTAAAGTTTTTATATTTAGCAATTGTTCGGTAGCTTGTTCCCCTCTCACAGTGTAAGTTCCAAACCATTTAAATTTCCTGTCAATTTGCAAAAAAAAACAAACCGAAAACCTGTATCTCAGTCAGTATTTACAAATATTTCTGTATGTTAAATCACTGTGCTATACCACTCTCAATACATGATGTTACCTCTACGTTAAATATCTATTCCATGCTTAGAATTGGCATTTATGCCTTGAGGGGATTTTGTTCTTCTTATTGTTGAACTCCTGTATTCTGCCTTTCCATGATCTGATTGCTTTCTCTTTCAGCAGAGGCAGTCCTGTTTTCCCATGACATGCCTGTTTATATTTTGGTGGCATGTGAATTTGCAACAATGTGAAGTATAGAGGCAGATACTGTCAGGTGACTTTTTTCAAAGCTGTTCTGAAACTTTTCAGAGCAGTATAGCACGTTTAAATATTTAAATGTTTTGTGAACACCATTAGTATTTCTTTAGTATCACTTAGTGGGCCATTTATTACGGATGGTGGATCGTAATTTGGGAATTGCTATCCTGAAGCTTGGTAGTTTACTTGCATTTGTTACCTTTTATGAATGTAACTGGATTCAAAATTTATGTGTATACAGGGTAGGAAACTTAATAGTTGGTTCCCATTGTAAGTCTGAGAAATAGATACTCATATATGAATAACTGACATATGCTGGAAAAGTAATTAAAACTTACATAAAAATGCTAAAAATTAGTGCTTTGAGAACCACAATGCTGAATTTCTAAAGCTTGTTTCTCCTGTGAATCTTACCTAAGGCAGAACTTAAACTCTGGCTTAAGTGTAAGCTTATTAAAAAAGATCACTATATAGTGTAGGGAGTAATGGAAAGTATTAATACAAATGTTTTTTACTTTTTTAGAAAAACTGTAAAAGTAGCTGAAATTGCAGTTGCAGTTGGAAGCTTTCCTTTTTTTCTAAACTATGGGCAGTCATTTGATAGGCTAGAACAGTTACGTATTTTCCTTAATATTTCAGCGTTTGTTGAACAAGAGTCTGTACAGAATGTGAGCGCACCACAGTTTGTAGATGCTATTCAAAGACATGCGTCTGCCTAGAAAAAATTTCTCATCACATACTTTCTTCCTTCCTCAAGAGGAAGGAGAACAATGTTTTCAGGGAGGTGTGTAACACAAATGCAACTTTTAATTTGATCACCAGGTAATATAGGCTAGCTCACCTTGGAGATGAGTGTGTGTATATTATTTCATTTATATTATATAACTACTTCCAGCTAAAATTGTGTGGCGCATAAGCTTTCCTTCTGTGCTTTTCCATTTTGCTTCCCCTCTGTCTGTGACAGTACTGTGCTATTGGAGTCAGTGCCATATGCTGGAAGTTCATCTAAAAACTGCTACTGCCCATTATTTCAGTGAAACAGTTAAGTAGGTCCAAAACAATAAGACCTGTGTGAAGTTTCTGGTCAAAGTGTTTTCAGTTAAGGGGTTAGATCCTATTCAGAAATTGAGAACCCTAATTTTGAACTCCTGTTACTTCAAAATTCTGTGTTCATCTGGCCTTGGACATTTGCAAAAATAGAAATCTTACTGTCATAAAACTTTAAATAAAAATGAAAGAAACATAATAATAGTCTTAAAGAAATTCTTGTGCTTTTAAAAATAGGTAAGCAGGATCTGAGGAAGCTGTATTGTTGGAAACTACTTCTGTATGAATATAGTCACAAAAAAGCACTGTTTTGTTTTAACATGGTGTTTAGCGTAACGTGGTGGCAAGAATTCCAAGCCACACCTCAAAGGCTTGGATTCTCTTCCCAGCTGCTACCAGCTTGTACTGTGAATGTGAACACATCGCTTCTATGTGCCTCTGTTTCCATTCCT